CTGCCCAGTAGGCATAATTAAGGGGCTTCCTTATAACATGAAGCAGGGGTAGGGGGTGGGGGTTGCTGTCTGGTGAGTGATAAGCGCTGCTTCTTTCTCCTTGCTCTTCTCCCAGCATTCAGCAAATAATAATAGTAATAATAACAAAGTGGTCAGTCACACATCAGAAAGGTTTACTGTAAGCACCAGCATTTAAAGTAAGTCTTCCTGATGGCTTTGTGCATCCTTAGCCGGCAGCTGTACTCTGCCAGAGACAGGCTCCGACCCTAATTGAGTGATAATGGCTTATGTAAGGACTAGGTCTATGAAAGGGAGCAGGAGCATTGTACAGTCTGCATCAAAAGCAATTTCTGGTTTTAGGAAGGGATTTCATCCATGGATCCCCATGAAACCCCATGCTCAAGTCTGTAGTTGTCTAGGATTGCTGGCCATATTTAGTTCTATTTCTTTGTCTACCAATTAGAAACAGATTTATTATTATTATTATTATTATTATTATTATTATTATTATTATTATTATTATTTCCCCCCCTCTAAGCCGCCACCTCAAGACAATTTACGCACAAGACAGTCAAAAACTGTTTAAAAACACAAATACAACAAATACATTTAAAACAAGACTAGTACCCTGACAAGTGGGGCTCTCATTGCAGAGACCCATTTATACAGTTGAGAAAGCCTGTGGGGACTGTCTTAAATTGTTTCTGGAAAGTGCAGATAGGAGGTGCTTATCTTGACAGGAATGATATTCACAGAACAGGCGCAGCCACACTAAAAGCCCTGCTCCGAGTTACTACAGCTTGGTCTTCTGAAATCTTTGGAACTTGCAGGAGAAACTATCCCACAGACTTCTCTGTGCACCTGTGTTTTTTTAAACTTTTATTTGAATATTATGAAATCATGCATCGCCACACAGAACAAGTTTTTCCTCCATCCAGCCCAAGACTCTTTTTAACAGCAGTGATTCTAGTATCCAATACTGTGCTAATTACAAGGGTGGCCTGCAACTGAAATCTTACTCAGAGTAAACCCATTGAAACAGATAGACATAAGTTAGTCATGTCCATTAATTTAATTGGGTCTACACTGAATACAACTAATGTTGGACACAAACCCAATTCTGTTTGGGAGTGGATTAGTCCTCATACACACTATACCTTGAACAGCTAGGTTCTCCTTCCACTGTGCCTCTGGACGCTAGTGGCTGGGTATCACAAGTGAGTTCAGTTGCTGCTTGCAGGCTTCCCGTGATTGGTTGGCCAATGTGAGAACAGGATGCTGGAGCAGAAGCTCACTGGGTGATCTTGGGCAATTTATTAACCTACCACACAAAATTGTTTTGAGGATAAAAGGAAGGTGATGGACTTCCCTGCAGTGGAAGCTTTTAAACAGAGGATGGGTGGCCATCGCTCAGTGATTCTTCAGCTGTGATTCCTGCTTTGCAGAGGGTTGGACTAGATGGTCCTTGGGGTCCCAACTCCACAGTTCTATGATTCTATGATAGGAGGAGAACTGTATAAGTTTTCGGGGGAAAACATGAGATTTTTTAAAAAATGAAATAACATAGAATTCAGGCTTGGACCTATGTAACTGAAGAGGTTTCTAGATTTTGATGGGGGATATAATTTTTTATTTTATTTTAAAAGGAAGAGAATCATTCACAGATCAGCCTATTTTATTTTATTTCATTAACTTTAATGTTCCTGTTCCATGGACTGTGAAGGAAAAGGAGCCATTAGTTCTCAGGGGCTTTATCTATCTCCATGCCATACAGAGCACTGATAACAATGGTTAAGGATAAACTCAGCAAGCAAGGGGAAGGGTGTGCTGTAGTAGTCTCAAAGGAGTTGTGATCTGCTTCCTGTTTCTGCATCGGACTGCTGGGGTTTATGTTTTGTTTTTGGTTCAATGCAAAAGAGAAATGGAACGTATTATGAGAAAGAAAGGAAACCTCCAATCTATTAAAGGGACCTTGTATGTATAAGTGATGAGTCTGCTTAAGGAGAACGGCTGTGGGTTAGGACTTGCCTGAAATGATTAAAGAACCTAAGAGCCCTGCTGATGCAGACCCAAAAGGTCATCCAGAGCAGAATCCGATTCTCATTATGGCAAACCAGATGTGCCAATGGGAAGCCCATTAGCAGCACCTGAGCCCAACAGCACTCTTCCCATTGGTGACTCCAGCAACTGGGATTCATTGCCTCCAACAGCAGAGGGAGAACATAGCCATTGTTGTCAGCAGCAATTGTTCAGAGGTAGCATCTCTGAGTCCCAGCTGCTGAGGACAAGGAGGCTGTAGAGGAGCACGTCCTGCTTGCAAGCTGAGTGAGTCGTTTTGACTGGTAGCCATTAATAACCTTCCCATTCATGAATTTGTCCAATCCTCTTTGAAGACCATCCAAGTTGGTGACTGTCACTATGTCTTACTGGAGTGAGTTCCATAGTTTAACTCTGCTTAACTCTGTGCTATGAAGAAATACCTTCTTTGGGCTGTTCTGGATCTCTCACCATACAGCTCCCTTGGATGACCCCTGGTCCTAGTATTAGGAGAGAGGGAGAAAAACTTCTTCCTATTTGCTGTCTCTACATTCTGCATAATTTTATACAGCTCTGTCGTGTTCCTTCATCCCCTACTTGCCTTTTTCCCGAACTACAAAGCCCCAAACCTTTATAGGGGAGTTGCTCCAACCCACTGATCACTTTCATTGCCATTTTCTGACTCCCCCGCACCAGCTCTTCCTCATCCTGCACATTTTTTGAGAGATATCAGAAAGTTCCTACCTGTTCTGAGCCTCTTTTCCCACTTGTGAACAGATTCTTCAACTTCTGTCCATGGCACCATTCCTTTATCAGTGACATCATTGTACCATGTCTGATATTAATGTATGACAGGTGCTGGTAAATGAAATCATGTGGGCCATGGCAGCCAATCAGAATAAAGCGCAGCCTAGGCAAAGGTGGAGGAGATAGCATAAATGAACCAGCACCAATGGGATACCTGAAGGTATGTATTTCCCCACAATGCAGGAACTTGCCAAAGGCTGTGAACTCAGCATGCATTTAAAGGACATTGAATGCACATTTCCTCGCTCCCAAGAATCATGGGAACTGTAGTTTCTTAATGGTGCTGGGCACTGTAGAACTGCAAGGGATAAACTTCAGTTCCCAAGATTCTTTAGGAGGATGTACTTTAAAGGTGCTTTAAATGTGTCGTATGTACACAGCCTTACACTGAGTCAGGCCAATTGGTCTACCTGACTGGCAGTCTGTCCCCAGGGTTTCAGGCAGGACTCTTTTTGAGCCTCACTGAAAGATGTCAGATATTGAACCAGGGATCTTCTGCATGGTAGACAAATCCTCTTCCACTGAGCTATGTCCCTTGCTGCATTGGCCTGCTTCCCCCTTAATATCTTCTGCAATAAGATATTTCTGTTTCACCAGCTGGGGGAACCTTTGGCTGTTACAGATATTGCTGACCAGGTATGATAGGACTTGCAGTTTTGTAACATTGGCAGGGCCAAATGTTCCCCACACCTGCCATGCACTTAAGCACATTTAAGACACATGGCTCCCCCCTCAAATAATCATGGGAACCATAATTCACTGTCTCCCACAGAACTACAGTTCCCAATGCCCTCAACAAACTGCAGTTCCCAGAATTCTTTGGAGAAGCCATGTGCTTTAAATGTGCTTAAAATATACAGTGTAGTGACCAAAGTGTGAAGGCCTCTCTTCTATCTCTTTTGCTTTGGGAACTTGAGTTTGGGCCAAAAGTTTTGTAGTGAAACTTCTCTTCGAAAAAACAAAGCCTCTCCTTTTCACATCCTCATCAAATTCCCCAGCCTCGCTCTTGAGCAGGTTCTGAAGTGAATGCCATTTGTAGATGAAGTTCTTGCCTCCAGCAGCACCAGCGGGGGCAGGAGAGGGACAGAACAACGCAAAAGTTCAAGCTTCTCAGCTTCCTCCTAGGTGATACCCCCCCTCCAAAAAAAATCTGTATCAAAGCCTATTTTGATCATCAGCCTGTCGGTAACATAATAAAAAGGATTAATTTATTTGAGGCTGACAAAACCCTCCCATGGCAACAAATTTAAGCATGCCTGCTTTACGTGAGCAATTAAAAGCAATTAATTTCATTCGTCAGTTGGGGCTGGTTGGGGTGTAAATGCATGTGTGTGTGTGTCTGTTTGAACGTGTGTCTGTGTCTCTGTGCATGATCTGGTGCACCCTCTTCCTTCTCCTGGTGTAAAGGTCCTCTCTGATGGCAGATGGTCCTGCAAAGTCAACTCACAAGCTCATTTGGAAATCATGCTGGTGCCGTTTTTGTTGTTGTTCAGGGGTCTTGAAGAGGATGGAGCAAATCACTTATGAGGAAAGGTTGAAGCATTTGGAACTTTTTAGTTTAGCGAAAAGGTGAGCGAGAGATAACATGATAGAAGTTTATAAAATTATGCATGGCATGAAGGAGGCAGTGATGGCCACCGACTTGGATGGCTTTAAAATAGGGTGGTACAAATTCATGGAGGAGAAGGCTGCTTTCACAGTCAAAGGCAGCACGGCTTCTGGATGCCAGTTGTTGGGTTCTGAACGGGATTGGCCTGATACAGCAGGTGCTTCTCATGTTCTTAAAAGATACATGCATCACTATTTGCTGTGCCTCTGTACCTTCCATGTTTGCCTCTTCCCCAAAAGGATTTTTTTTTGACAGAGTGGTGGTGGCTGTTTCTAAATTCAAACTGGATCGATATATGCAGCATTGTGAGATCTAACTATCCCTAGTGGAATTTCAGACAGGGGCCAGGGGTCACATTTCAAAGTCCTCCCGTACATAAAAACAAACAACCCCCATCCCTGAAAGTTGAAACCATATTCTTTTCAAATTTTCTATGCCACTTAGTATTTTATAAATTTCTAAGTGGCTTACAAACAACATAAAAATAGATCAACATAAAAACAGAAAGATGTAAAAAAAAAACCCCAATCCCATTTGTTCCTGAAAAGGGCCTTAGCTCAGTGGCAGAATATCAGATTGGCAAGCAGAAGGTCCCGGGTTCAATCCCTGACATCTCCAGGTAGGGCTGGGAATGTCCCATGCCTGAAACTCTAGAAAGTTGCTACCAGTCAGAGTAAACAATACTGAGCTTGATAGGCCAATGGTCTAACTCAATATAGCTTCATGTGTTCCTATGGAATGCTCTGCTGGTAGCTAGCACTAAACCTAAACCTTGTAAAGGTAAAGGAAAAAGACCCCTGGACAGTTAAGTCCAGTCAAAGGCGACTATGGGGTGTAGCGCTCATCTTGCTTTCAGGCCAAGGGAGCCAGCGTTTGTCCACGGACAGCTTTCCAGGTCATGTGGCCAGCATGACTAAACCGCTTCTGGCACAACAGGACACCATGATGGAAACCAGAGCACACAGAAATGCTGTTTACCTTCCCACCACAGTGGTACCTATTTATCTACTTGCACTGGTGTGCTTTCAAACTGCTAGGTTGGCAGGAGCTGGGACAAAGCAACGGAAGCTGCTGGTCGTCAAGGCCAAGAGACTCAGTGATTTAGACCACAGTGCCACCTGCGTCCCTCTAAACCTTGTAGCACTTGATAAGAAGGCTTTAGGGGTCTGAGAGAGAGAAACTGTGTCTCTTTCCTCCCTCCCTATACTGAAAAGTTTTCCCAATACATCCTGTGTTTCCTTTTTTAAGAGAGAGAGAGAGAGAGAGAGAGAGAGAGAGAGAGAGAGAAAGCTAACAGTGCAATCTGACACATGTTTAGTTTGTAGTGAGTTCAGCTAAGTATCAAGTGGGCTTTTCCTGCAGAAAATTATGCACAGGACTGTAATATAGGACAAATCAATAGTGTACATTCAAAGCATATTTAAAACACAAGGATTCTCCCCAAAGAATCTTGGGAACTGTAGTTTGTTAAGGGTGCTGAAAATGGTAGCCCTGTAAGAGGGGAGACTATGGTTCTCATGATTATTATTTTTTGGAGGGGGAGGGGAGCCGTGTGCTTTAAATGTGCATTCTGCCCTTAGAGAGTTTTGGGCTCTCCTAACTCAGGGGCCTCTTGCCTCTCTCGATCCAGGCATCTAAATGATGATCCAGCTAAACAAGACAGAGTTTTTCCACAATGGACGATCACCCATTAATGCTATCTATTAGGATACTAAAAAGCTGCCCTCCTTTTTTCCCTCCCTTGATAAAACCCAGTGTCACGGGAACATGCATCATTAAATATGGAAATCCAGAATTTTATTAGCAATCTGCTAGATCTGAGCTGACGCCAATTAAACAAAAAAGATATCATTTATATCTTTTTTAAAAGAGAGAGAGAGAGAGAGAGAGGCAGAGTTCAAGTTGTATTAAATGTGAAATGCAATTTTCTGCCGCCGTTGATTTATTACTCAGTGTTGCATTGTTCAAAGAAGCATGTTATATATTTCAATAGAGAAATTATTGTTTATTCATTAATATTTTAAAACTTGCTTATTGCCGGCTCCTGTTGCCGAGTGAAACTTATGATTTAAAACATGAATTAATAAACACATTTGAAAGTGTTAGACAATATCGTAAGCGCTCGTTTTTCATTTTACCGGGAGCATATTAAATTTTTATAATTCCGCTGGTGCAATGATTTTCTTCCCTCCACCCTTCCTCATATAAAAAAGAAAGGGGGGTGGGAAGGTGTGGATTCTAAATGACTAATTTCAGGTAAAGATGAAGCCAAAGCAATAATAGATGCTGGGAGGGAAAATCAGTCACTGTGTCGGCATAATATGGCTTTTCTATGTTTGTACTTTATATTATTCATACTTCATATATATGTGTGTGTGTGTGTGTGTGTGCGCGCACACACACACGTCTCTCTCTCTCTGTGTGTGTGTGTGTATTTTTGCTTCATGACGCATCCTCTATTGTTCCTGGTGCACAGACTCTCCTCTCTGCAGAATGCTGGACAGACAGCATATAATCTCCAGCCTTTCACAAATGAAAGGGACATTCTGGGACAATTTCTGCAATCTCTCCAGACTCATTCAGAAGAGCACAATTTGGTCTTTCAGCTTCCTACACCATCTCTCCAGCAGACCCAGTGCCCATTGGGGCAAGAGGGGCACTGCCCCACCAGCCACAGTCTGCCCTCAGCTGATTCCCACCCCCTCCCTTCTTACAACTAACTCAGGGGGTGGCCCTGCCTGTCAGCTTCCACCTGCTCAGTTTTGCTGTTGCGCCTTGTAGAACTCAGCATCCTGTTCTCATTGTGGCTGACCTGATGCCTTTGGGAAACCCACAAGAAAGACCCAACCTCAAGAGCAACTCTGTCCTCCTGCAGTTTCCAGCAACTGGTACTCGGAAGCAGTACTGCCTCTGTTTGTGGAGGCAGAGTGTAGCCATCGTACATAGCAGCCACTGATAAACTTCTTCATGAATTTGTCCGGTCCTCTTTTAACACCATCCTAGTTGGTGGCTTCCTGCCAACCTAGCAGTTCGAAAGCACGTCAAAGTGCAAGTAGATAAATAGGTACCACTCTGGCAGGAAGGTAAACGGCCTTTGCGTGCACTGCTCTGGTTCGCCAGAAGCGGCTTAGTCATGCTGGCCACATGACCCGGAAGCTGTACGCCGGCTCCCTCGGCCAATAAAGCGAGATGAGCGCCACAACCCCAGAGTCGGCCACGACTGGATCTAATGGTCAGGGGTCCCTTTACCTTAGTTGGTGGCCACCACCGCCTCTTGTGGGACAGAGTTCTATAGTTTAACTCTGCACTGTGCGAAGAAGTTCTTAAAAAAAAAAAATCTGTCCTGAATCTTCCAACATTTAGCTTTACTGGATGTCTATGATGTCTAGCATTATGAGAGAGCAAGAAGAACTTCTCTCTCTCCACTCTTTCCATGCTTTGCACAATTTTATGAACTTCTATTATGTCACTTCTTACTTGCCTTTTCTCTAAAAGAAATGTCCCTAATGCTGCAGCCTTTCATCAGAGCAGTTGCTCTGCCCTCCCAATCATAGGGGTTGCCCTCTGACCTCAGCTACTATTGGCTTCCCTACCCTCTGCCCTACAAGTCCAAGGGGCATCAGCGCCCTCTTCCTGCTGTTGCAGCCTGTGTCCCTTGACTGTGCAGTCCATGCTCTCAGCCAGCCCCTGCTTCCTCAACTTCTTCCTTGTAAGGTAAAGGTAAAGGGACCCCTGACCATTAGGTCCAGTTGTGGCCGACTCTGGGGTTGCGGTGCTCATCTCGCTTTACTAGCCGAGGGAGCCGGCGTACAACTTCCGGGTCATGTGGCCAGCATGACTAAGCCGCTTCTGGCGAACCAGAGCAGTGCACGCAAAGGCCGTTTACCTTCCCGCCGGAGCGGTACCTAGTTATCTACTTGCACTTTGGCGTGCTTTCGAACTGCTAGGTTGGCAGGAGCTGGGACCGAGCAACGGGAGCTCACCCCGTCGCAGGGATTCAAATCGCCAACCTTCTGATTGGCAAGTCCTAGGCTCTGTGGTTTAACCCACAGCGCCACCCACCTCCCTTTCTTCCTTGTAACCAGTGCATAAAATATGAAGTACTTGGAGGAGCTAGCGACGGTCCTTCCTGCCATGACCATTTTTGGTCACAGCTCCTTTCAAGGCGCGCTTGGTGTGGGAGTGTGTAGCCAGCTGCTATGGACAAAGCCAGAAGGTGTGTGGATCGTGCTGCAGCACGGAAGGTGCTTGCTCTGGGTGGCAGGCTGATTCCCCACCCAGATGTTATTTTCAGAAATGCAGCCCTGTTTAGGGCAGATGGCATGCACCTGTCCGATGGCGGTAGTGATGTATGGCTTGCTGGAATTGAAAAAAGTTTATTAGATTGGTTGCGGGACTGACAGTATTGGCGGTAAGTGATTGGCTCGTGTGGCAGTTAGGCATTGGTTTAGGGGAATGTGGGGAGGGGAGGTGCAGCCATCATGTGCCCCTCCAATGAATAGGGTATTCCATTAAAGGAATCTGGGGGGTCTGGATCTCGTCCGAAGCCCGGAGAGGGGCTAGAGTCATGCCAGGACCCCCGGGAACCCAGGGGTGAGCACCAGTCAATATACAGTGGTACCTCGGGTTAAGTACTTAATTCGTTCCGGAGGTCCGTACTTAACCTGAAACTGTTCTTAACCTGAAGCACCACTTTAGCTAATGGGGGCCTCCTGCTGCTGCCGCACTTCTGCTGCGTGATTTCTGTTCTCATCCTGAAGCAAAGTTCTTAACCCGAGGTACTATTTCTGGGTTAGTGGAGTCTGTAACCTGAAGCGTATGTAACCTGAAGCATATGTAACCTGAGGTACCACTGTACACTGATGGAGATCCCCCTGCTGGTTGTTTACCCTTACAGGCTTCCTGCAGGGTGGGGCAGGAGCCACTTATAGTTTTGATACCAATGCCTAAGTCAATACCAGTCACATTTGTGTATTCAATAAAGTTGTGGCCAAAATTTGCCCATTAACATTTAAACTAAATTCTGTCTCCGCTATGTCTTTATTTCCATGAGGGATGGGTTTGGGGGCTTGGAGCACAACACTCTCTGTCAATTACCTCCTCCTCAGGCTCAGTGTCGTCCTTGTAGAACCCTGCTGGTTGAGGCCAATGGCCCACTTAATCCTTCATCATTTTCTCACAGTGGCCAACCAGATGCCTGTGGGAAGCCCAAAAGCAGGACACGGATGCAATAGCACTTGCCAGCCTGGGATTCTCAGCAACTGGTATTCAGAAGTGTTACTGCGGTCAACTGGGGAGGCAGAGCACAGGCATAGTGGCTTAGGAGATGATGATAGCCTTGTCTTCCTCCATGTATCTGTCTCAACCTCTGTTAAACCATCCAGGTTGGTAGCCATCACTGCCTCTTGTGGGGGTGAGTTCCGTAGTATAACGAAGTGCTGTGTGAAGAAGTACTTCCTTTTATCAAGGATGGGAGCTGTACTTCTGCAACATTTGGAGGGGCAAAGCCCCTCCCCCACCTGATATAGGGCTTAAACCAGTGGCCATGATTTTAATGACAGATATTTCAATGTTTCAATGGGATGGTTTTTATTGTGCATTTTAATTGTGGATGCTTT